AAAAAAAAAGTTTATAAAAATTTTTATAAAGTATATAAAAAGTAATATTATAAATCTGAAACACTAGACCCCTCGGGGAAGAGAAATTTCATATTAAAATACCCACCACCTATCCCTCAAATAAATGTGATCCACAATTTATTCTACACTTTTTTGCTACGTTAATAAAACATAATTATTATTAAATATTTATAACTATACTTAACGATTAAATTAGAAAATTAATTTACTTTTTAGTTGTACAATTTAAACAGTCTAAATCATTCAATAGAAAATAATAAATAAATAGAGTAACTATACTAGTCCGACGGACAGGTAGTACGCCTGCAGAGCCAGGGGTCGCAGGGAACTAGACCCCGCCCTAAGGGCGGCTACAGGACCCCAGAGAGGGGACTAGCAAATACTAGTAATTTAGGATCATTAAAGTTTAATTGTTTTAACAATTGTAGTTTTATCATAATTATTGACATCATATTATTTATAATAAAGATATATTTATTGGTATTATACCTAAACCATATACGATACAAGGCATTAATATAACGTAAGCTATAACAATAGGTAATAAAACAGTTCAACATACTGACATTAATTGATCAAAACGTATTCTAGGGAAAGAAGCTCTAACTCAAATGAATACGAATATTAAGAAAGATGTTTTAATAGCTAAATTTAAAGAAGAAGAAGATATATTAACAAATATATCATATAAAATAGAATTATTTACATCAAAAAATAAATTTAAAATATTTATAATTAAATCTAAAGGAATAATACTTAAATAACCTCCTAAGAATAAAATACTATTCATAGCACAAATTAATACAATATTAGCATATTCAGCTAAGAAGAAGAATACAAAAATACTAGCAGAATGTTCTGTCATAAAACCACTAACAAGTTCTGATTCAGCCTCAGCTAAATCAAAAGGAGGACGGTTAGTTTCTGCTATAGAACTAATAAAGAATACTATAAATAAAGGAAATAATGGGAATAATAAATTTACTACTCTTTGTGATTCTATTATAGTAATAATATTAAAACTACCCGTTAATAATAAAACTATTAATATAACAGAACTTAATACTAATTCGTAACTTATTAATTGAGCCGTACTTCTTAAAGACCCTAAAAATGCATATTTAGAATTAGCTGATCATCCAGCTAATAATATACCATATCCAGATATAGAACCTACAGCTAACATATATAATAAACCTAAACTATAGTCAGATATAAATATACCTGAACCAAAAGGAATTACTAGGTAACCCAGTAAAGAGAAAATTAAAGTTAGTACTGGTCCAAGGAAGAATAGAATAATATTAGCTTGTGTAGGTGCTACATACTCTTTTAATAATAATTTTAAAGCGTCAGCAAATGCTTGTAATAATCCTAGATATCCTACTGCGTTAGGACCTAATCTTCTTTGCATACTAGCCATAGTTTTTCTTTCCGATATTGTTACAAACGCAACAGATAATAAAGCAGGAACAATTACTAATAATCCTTCAATTATTGAAATTAAATAATTTAACATTTTGTTTTTATTCCTTTCCATAAATAAAATTTATATATGATATAAATATTGGATATTTAATAACGTGCAGTATTTTTTATTATATATCATATATTTTTATCTTTATGTTTTAATAAGCTAAAAATAAAATATATATATTTATATATATATATTACCTACTATTTTATAAATGTATTATATATGTATATATATATATTTACATTATATAGTTTTAATCCGTTTTTTAAATTGTATCTTACCTAATAGTATAGTTAAGTTAGCTTTTAATTTTGAAGTAGGTGCTATATAATCCTATTTACTTATAAATTTAGTACAGGATTTTTATAAAGTTTTAAATAATAAAGGGAAAAACTTCGCCCTCCGGGGCGACGAAGTAGTTGATATAATCCCCACCGAGGGGTTATTTTTTGGTCCCTGAGGCGGTGCGTTCCGCACCGCCGAGGGGAATGTGCTATATGAAATTGATATACTAAGGAGCTCGGGGAACTCGAATCCCTTTATTTCGATTTGCAATCGAAACGCAGAACCCTCTGCTCAAGCTCCTATTCCCTATTAGTTAATATATAAGTATATAATTAATATATTTATATACTAACCCGCTATAGGGATTGGTCACCCTCAAGGGGTGAGGGACTAAGTAAGATATTAATAATTATTTTTTAATAGCTAACTCTACTAAACTATTTTCGATAAGACTAACTACAGGTACTATAACAAAGAAGTGTGCAAAGTATAAAACAGTTGAAATTTGTCCAAATTCAATGAATGGTGTTTCAACGTGTTTTGCACCTATTTGCATTAATATTAAGAAGTTAGCTACGAAAACGTAGAAAGCTACTTTACTTAAAGGTCTGAATTGTACTCCTCTTAATTTAGATAAGTCAGTTAATGGCATAACCATTAATGCTAAAATAGAAGCAAACATAGCAATAACACCTAATAATTTATTAGGTATTGATCTTAAAATTGCATAGAATGGTAAAAGATATCATTCTGGAACGATAGCTGGTGGAGTTTGCATTGGGTTAGCCATAACATAGTTTTCACTATCTCCTAAAGCATTAGGCATAAAGAAAACAAATACAGATAGTACTATAAAGAAAATAAAGATAGTAATTAAATCTTTAAATAAGAAGTAAGGAGCAAAAGGTAATCTGTCATAATTACCAGAGATACCTAAAGGATTACTAGATCCTACTGTATCGTGCATTGCTATTAAGTGCATTAAAGCTAATGCAGCTAATACGAAAGGTAATAAGAAATGTAATGCAAAGAATCTATTTAGTGTTGCATTGTTTACAGAGCATTTGTGTTGGTAGCTCCAGATTTAATAAATATTAAATCCTCTCACTACACTCAATAAATCTCTTTATTGATCGGACTATATCATGATCTCATTTAATAATTTGAAGGTATTTTTATTTTTTCTGAATATCTAGATATTTTACGTAATTGTTTCAATCATAATAAATATTGTAATTTTTTATTACCTAATAACTTTACAGGTGCATTTTGTAAAAATTTAATAATATTTTCTATTGATCTTACACTTGTAACTTTTAATTTTGAACAATTAGTTTTATCTAGATATATAGTAGTGGTAAAAGATAAATATTCACGAATGGCAGATATTAAAAGATCTCCATCTCTTTGAGCTACATCGAAACTAGCTACTAAATAATCATTGTCTTTATTTAATTTATAAACACTAAAACAACCCTCAGCTTCTAGAAATCCTACTAATCAAGCAGAAAAATAAGATGAATTAATAATAGATTCTATAGAATTTATTGGTTCATTACTTCTAGTATATTCAGGTAAATCTTCTGAATAAATAATACCTGAAAGTAATGCATTTCTAAATCTTAAGTAATCATATTGCTTATTAGAAAACATAGGGTATTTATCAAATATAGGTAATATAAAATTTTTCAAATGGTTCTTATCCCTTATTCTTAAAGCTACCATTTCTACTTCATTTCTTTTTCTAAAGCTTACAGTACCTACACCTAAAATGGTTTTTATCTTGTAAATTAACTGTACATCTTTAATAGACAATTCAATACCTAATTCGTATGTTAAATATTTACCTTTTTTTGTTATGGAAAAATAACCATCACCTTCAAACAATCCTACTAAATAGGCATATGTGAGATCTCCTGCATGTAGTCTCTGAGAGGCTTCTGAAGTATGTATACTTCTCACCCCTGCTGATTTTCCCCTTGTCATTGCAATTTTCACGCCTATTAATAATATTATTAGAAAGAATAAGTCGTATACAAATCCTAAAATTGGGGATCTCTCAGCATTAAGCAGGATTTTTAACAATACGTCACCGTATTGTGGTTCATCTGTGTATAAACCTCCTCATATGACAAAAGTAATACGTATAATATTTAACTTATACTTTACACCCTTTAGGGTGTATTTAGACTATATCTTAAACCATCGCAAGAATGCGAAGATTTTGGGGGTATCGTGTTGAGCTTATTGTTGGTATAACTCACCCATTAGTCGTTGAACGTTCTTAATCCTTTTATGTATACCGGATTAAACTTCGCTACAAATAATCTAATAAACCGGAGGTAATTTATTAAATGTCCTTGTAATTTTCCCCATTTGCCTCTAAAATTCATCTTCTTATATGAAGATGATTTTAAGGAGCCCATTACAATTATTAATTCATGTTTTTGGTGTAGTAGAGTATCACAAGATTAATCTATAATTGAGGATAATTTAAACTGCTATAACGTGAACTTTCACGCAAATTATTTAATCAATTAACGTATTGTATATATTTTAATCCTATTAAAGGATGTAAACCTGAAAATGAAAAGTAATTTATAACTTTTTGTATATCAGATTTAGAACTAACACCAAATTGATTATAGTTATTGGTTATATCTATTTTTCTATTTGTATCAAATATTAGTTTTAAAGCCTCAAATAAATTATAATGTATTTTTTGTTTTAATTGAAAACAACCCTCATTATTACTTTTAAAGAAAGAACCCTCTGAACATGTAAATCCTACAATTCAATTTCTAAAAAAATGTAATAATGTATAATCAAATGGATTTTTAGGAATTTCAAAAATAGTTGGTATGTTATTTATATTATGAATTTCATTATACAATTTAATATCATTTTTTAATATATACATAGCTAAATTAAATTGATCTACTCTAGTATCAGTTAAGAAAAATATGTTATTATATATAAGCAATGGAAACAATACTTCTTGTAGATCAGTTTTATTAATAACTAATTTGCAAGTAGGGCTTCTTAAATCTTTATAAATATTTATCTTACCTAATTTTAAAACAGAATGAATATATTCTAAAGTAGAAAGATCTTCTAAATGTAGAGATATAACTAATTTCATTGTTATAAATCCTTTTGATGTTTTACTTATTTGAATATATCCATTTCCATCTATTAATCCTACTAAAAAAGCTAAAAAAGATGAAGGAATTGAAATATATTCTTGTTTATCCGATCTTAAAGTTTTATTATTTTTTTTTAAGGCATTATTATGAATAACTCCTATTGTAGGTAAGGAAGCTTTGCCAGCTCTAACATTTAAATGCTGCGAAACCAGATACTTGTGAACAGCTACAATTGAAAATAAAATAACAACACCAAAACATAAATTAAAAATTATTGTAATAATTTTTGACTCAACAATATCTTGACCTATTCAAGGTATAGCACTCATAAGATTTGTAATAACTGTAGCACCTCATAAACTCATTTGACCATAAGGTAAAACATACTAACTTACTTATTATTGTGGTTAATAATATAAAATATATTAATAAACCATCTACACCTAAATATATATCAACAATAAGCTAGAATAACTTTGAATTCGTATATCCTATTAGTTAAATACTTTTTAACTAAAAGTTCCGACTGTGCATTAAGCAGCATTTCAGCCACCCATTAGTGACCCAGTCTGTCGCGACCATTTATATGACCGACGATCTTAAAGCTTGTGAAACTTCTTTGATCGTTTTCACTAACATCGCCAAATAATCTTAAAGACTATTCTATATCCCCGTCGGGATATACCACTTTAATCTTTCTTTTTCTATAAAAATTGCAGAAAGATTGTTACTCGCGGGACTATGATTTAATATAAAAATGAAGTATAATAAATTATTGATAATAAGATAACTATTTAGTTGACAAATCTTTTACTATTCATTGTCTTTTTACTAATCCTTTTTCTGTTTTTAGTGCTCTTCTGATAGTTTTTTCACCACAGTTTATAGAATTAGCTGCATCTAAAATAGTAGAATATTCACCGTAAACAGTTCCATTAAGATTATATAAAACTACAGGTCTTGTATGTGCAATACATTTTTTCTTAATCTCATCTAACATAGGAGATCTATTTAAAGCTTTCTCTCTCATTTTCTCTATTGTTTCAGGAGAAAGCTTTTTACCTCTGTTTAAACTACCTACCATTTCCCGTCTTGCGTCAGTATAAATATCTTTCATTTTTTGACGGTCAACTTCAGTATGTTTATAACCAAAACTAGAACCTGCCTCAGTTAAAATATTATAATTAGGTAATAACAATTTTAGATATTTATCTTCTAAATCCAACAATTCCTTATTATTTTCTTTAGTAACTATATTAGGGTATAATTCTAATATAATTAAAGCAAAATTATCTAATTTATATTTTTTTACTGCTGATTTAACTATTTTACTACCTCTGAAATAAATTAGATGGTTGCTGAATCTAGCATAAAATCTATTAGTTGCCGCAGAACCTATATAGTAATCTTTAGTTATTTTATTAACTATCATGTATATTCCACTTAAACCTTTAGTCTCATTTAATATTTGTTTTCTAATATTTTCTGAATCTAGGTTTTCAAAAATATACACAGGATTTAGACCTAATTCTTTAATTATTGAATTTAACCTTTCAGAATAAGAAAATTCAATACTATTATTTGAAGAAGGAATTGTACTATATCTTCTTTTATTTAAATAGTATGTTGACTTATTTAATTTATTATACTTTGTATTTTTCATACTATTTCCTATTGGGTATATTAATACCTTATTTTTTATAACTAAATTTTGTATAGTATAATATACAAGGATTAAAATAATTGCAAAGGAAATACTTATATTAAACCATTTTGGGCTATGTTCATAACCCAAGAAGGCTGTAGCCATCATAACGATAAGGATTACTGTACCAATACCTCATGTTAAAGTTCTAGGTGATTTGTAAGATCCGTAGTATAAACCTCTACCTATGTGTAAGTACACCAGGAAGAAGAAAGCTGAAGCTGTGTTAGCATGTAAGTAACGTATTAATCAACCATTGTTAACGTCTCTCATAATATGCTCTACAGAATTAAATGCTTCTAACACGCTAGGTGTATAGTGCATAGCTAATGTAACACCTGTTACTATTTGTATACCTAAACATAAACCTAATAAAGATCCAAAGTTTCATAGGTAACTTATATTAGAAGGTTGTGGTGAATCTATTAAATATGAATTTAATAACTTTAATAAAGGATGATTTTTTAAAATTCTCATTTTATATAATATTAAATATTTTATTTTTAATTCACAAGCTCATTTATAAATATACTTTTTGCAAAGTTTATCTATATTATCATCAAATTGTTAAAAAACAA